GATTTTGAGGAGACCATCTGAGAAACAGGTGCTAAATTATTCGCTGGTCCACCTTGGATTCTACAAAACACAAACCAGAGAGAGCATGCAACTGCACATTTTTATAAATGCAAAAAATCATGAAAACAAGGGGAGGGGCGGTGGAAGCAGTAACCAAAGGCCGCACAACACCGAGAAATAACCGGTTAGGGGGTCCAGTAAAACATTAAACATAGAAATTAATGAGCACACACGCACGCATGCATGGTATATCCCAGTTGGTGAAAATCCCCATCAAAGGAGTTGTACAAATAAGAAGAATAAGAGAACAAGGCTGTACGGGGAGGTGCCAAGTAAATCACGGCTCACGTCGACACCGAAGGCCCTTCACGCTCGACATGTGCGCTTGCAGTTTGCAAATGCGCAGACTTCTGTCAGTCTCGTTGGCTTTGCCGGTCACTACAAAGGCAAGGGCACGGAGTGTTGATTGGTAGCGGTATGCACACGGGTAGCTTGGCCTTACAATCACCCACAACGTGAAAGGCATCTGGGAAGGCCTCGAAACCAACCAAATCCTACGAGAACACGTGAACAACTAAGGTCCGGTGTCGCGGTTTTTCAAGGTCAAATGACACCACCTTTCCAGAGACTAACTCCACATGTATACCATACCGTTGGTACTAGGTGTGTGACTTAATTTTTGCAGATTTTCCCTCGAGATTAAAAGTATTTTTAATAACAGAATAACTCCACATGTATACCATACCGTTGGTACTAGGTGTGTGACTTAATTTTTGCAGACTTTCCCTCGAGATTAAAAGTATTTTTAAAATAGAAGTATTTTCGCAATCGCTTGTGGTTTAGAAAGGATCCAACCCAAGATTTCAGAAAACCGAACGATGTGAGTTACATAAGCTCTCAGAATAACAGACTATACGACGGTGGCAATTGACAAACAGCACATTCGATGGCAGTGAATTTATTGTGAATTCTAAAGCACGGGGTGAATCAATTTGTGGTGTTCTTGGTGACGACGTGGTGTCTTAGAAGTGGTGATTCCGACCTTATTGGCCGGCTGCGCCCCGGACAATAGCCTCGAAAGTTTGAGGATGCGGGATCGCAAGGCGCACTGGATGAAGACTCAACACAAACCCAAACGGCTATTTGTCCGGCGTTTGCACCACCAATTGCAAAAAATGCAAAACTTGGAGGTTGGGTCCCCCTCCCCCGGACACAACCTTGATCAACGTGTGAGCACACACGCCTTTCACTGCTCGTGAAAGTCGTGATGGGTGATGAATGGCATACTTTTTACGAGAATCCCAAAGGTAAAAGGGTACCGTGTGTAGATCCCAACCGACTTAGCACATCGACGCCGAAACAGGAGACCACAAGTTGGTACGTTGTGCGTAAATTTTCGAAAGTCTTGAAGCGAAATTCCACCAGTAAGCGCTCTGAACGAAACAAGACCCACAAGTTAGCCTCGACTGCCAGACCCTTCGTCGTGTACGACGACCCTCTCCTCGCGATATTCCACCGCACATCTAGCTTAATTTTCCTTCCACGAACGCCGGTTTCGAATTCGGCATTAATTAATTGCAGCTCATCGTTATTCCAACTTTCGACGCAGAGACATCTTCACGTAACAGGACATGTCCAAATACCAAAAATAACCCCTCCATCGTCATCACGAGTTTCGGCCGTTCGAAATCTGAGCAGGAGCCTGAAACCCATCCGCATTTGTTGAACAAATCACCGAAATGAACTTTCAAACATATTTTACAAGCTCATCTGCCTGAAAGTATCACCGGGGATTCGCTAGAGTGTTGCTGTGACAAAAGAAGGCGAAGAAAGTTTTTTTGAACATTGTTTCATTCGTGTTGACACCACTTCAGTCACCCGAGATGGTGTCTGACCAATCAGGCGAATCAGGTGGGATTTGAGAGGTCAGACGGCAAAAATTCAGCAACAGCGCCAGGCCAGTTAGAACTCAACGTGTTCACAGCCCAGTTTAGTGATTAGTGCATTGAAAGTAAGCATTCTCGGGTAGAGACTTATCACAATGAGAATGTTAGAATACCACGAAGTGGGTCTTACAGGGAGCTGGCGGTGCATTGTGCACAAGGGCGGTGAGATTCGAGGGAGGCATGTCGTCCAGCAAAATGACCGATTCATCCTTTGCCACGCCTTGTGGGTTCCTTCGAGCAGTCAAATCCCGACGACGAAGCATGTAGGCCTTCTGGAGCGAAAGACAACAAAATCAGATGTGAGCCTAAACAGAAGGGGTCTACGCATCCGCTGCACACACCAACACCTTTAGTAATGGCGACAATGATTGAGGAATAGCGAATTTCCAGTTAGCGGAACCATTTTCAGAATCGTTGTAACATTTGCTAGGTTGTGTCCTAAAGGAATTAGCTGGAACGCACTACTGACTCCAGGAGCTACCTTGCAAGCTTTCCAGATGGATAAAAACATCGCTGTCCACTGGGGCATCACGGAGTATGTAAACAAACTTTAAGAGCAAAAACAAGAGAGAGGGAGATGAATAGTCCAGCCTTTTTGTGTAGCTATGCTGGTGGGAATAAAATCACCCAAATAAAGTCGCTTTTAAAAAAGCCTCGGGTCAGGTGCTGCCAGGGATTGCCATCGCATGGTGCTCTGCGTCTGATAGGAAATAAACGCCGAGGCAGCAGGAAAATTCAGAGGATTTCGTGTTACCCCTAAGCGTCTCATTTGTCACTTATAGAAGACAGTCAGGAAGAATGGCTGGGAATCACAGCGCCCAGTAGCCCACTAGTTGATTCAAAAAAGAAATCAATTTCCATGATTCGGTCTGGCTATAGCATTCGGGCTAAACAGTAGGGACATGAGGATTAGCAAAAATGGCAGAAGCGGCAAGCAAGAGGATGGAAGGGGAACCTCCTGGCCTCAAACTGGCCCTTGTGAGGGCCCGTCCAAACAAAATCAGCCACGCAACACCAAGAAGGTTTGTGCACTACTACGAAGTTGGTCACGCGATCCTTGAACACACGTGGATTAGGATGGGCGTTTCTGAAGTCATTCGTGGAAAGGGAACTGAGGTGCTGCTTGTTTTAGCCAAAATTATCTGATTGGTTCAACATTTCAAAGTGTGCTCCACAGGCCTTTCGTGTAATCGCTAAGACTCGCAAACGTCTATAGCATAAACAGAAAACGAAGCAGAGCATTTAATCTGAACTTGAGACAAGCATGGTCTATGTGCCCATGCATAGACATACGGTCTGGCTCATACATATTAATCCAATAATGGCAAATCTGATCGTTTCTAAGGGCTGAGCGGAGCTGCTATTCACACGAGACTTGTGTATGCTAGGCAGGATGCAGTGCGTCGACTATTTCACTTACATGGTAATTTGATTAAGAGAAAGTGCACTTGTAGTCTTCAGGTGCAACTGAAAAGAGGAGGTTAACTAACCATCACACAAAAGGTCAACTTCAAGGTCGATAAAAGGCTCTCCGGTAGCCACCACGAGGTCCGAATGACACCAACTTTGTTGGAAATGCGAGGTGCTAGTCGCTTCTTTAACATATCTTGTATGCACAACACACACACGTTTGCATTCAATGCCCTGGTTGCCTGTTAATAGTCGATTGTTGCCCTCTCACTTAAAGCAACTGCGCAGCGCAGCCACCAGAATAAGTGCGCACTCATTGCCTGCGAGACGATCAGGCGAAGGTGAATAGAGGCGGAACAGCACAATAACAACCACGTCTGGTTTAAAAACAGCGACATCGCACATTTAACTTACTTGCAAACGTCGACGCTGGGTCCGATCAGATCGGTTTCTGGCGAGATGCCATCGCGAGAGCTCCGATGTGGTCTGCCTGGAAGTGTTCGTGTGTCGACTGTGGGCCGACTGTTTCCTGCGCTCGTTGAGTGGCAGCAGATCGAGGTCACCATCGTCGAGCACGATCCACACCTTAAGGGGGATAGGCAGGACTAAATCTCAAAGACCAAATTGAGAAATTTACGAGAATTGGGAATAGTTGACTTTATTGTTTGCGTCGATCAGCTGACACCCAGGTATAACGTACTTCGATTGGAAACAATGTGTCCAAGTTACGCAACATAACACTTATAGTTTCGAGCAATGTTACAGTAGCCGTTTGATGAGTTGACTGAAGAAGCTACTACGACTACTGCTTTGTAAAAATGGCGAACATTCGTTGGAGCTTGTGTCCGGTAAAGGTGCCTGTCGTCAAGACAGGATGGACGGAGCAAAGCTGGAGAGGTAGCAGGCACAATCGATTTGTGTTAGTAAACAAAGTGTACACTTGCACTACACGAATGACTCAGACACGTAAACACCAGGCGCAGTCGGCACGTGGGTGTTGTGGCCTCAGGCTGCGTAAACGACACCTCACTCTACTTCAAGGCTGCGTGAACATTGAAATTGGGTATCGGACAATTTCTCAAGCATGAAATCCACAAAGTTGAGCAAGTTTATACATCTCCGTGACGACAACGCCTTTAATACCGATAGCTATGACGACGCCGCTCAGCAGATTCAAGCTACTGTCAGCTGTAATTACGATTTAAGTTGCTCAGAGGTTTATGGATGTTTGGGCGGAAAACTGTCCACAATGCTTCTAGACATCTGATGTGCTAGTGCGATGAAAACGGAGGATACGGCGAAGCAGAGATGAGTAAGCTCTGAAGGCATTTCAACAAAAATTATCATTAAGTGGTTCAGGTGGAAGCGGTGCGAATCACGAGACTCCATCGTGTTCCACAGTACACCCGTTGAAGTGATTAGCAGTTTTTGGTTATGCCTCATCAAACAAGAGTATATTCAGCCATTCATCACAGGACACAAACTGAACCTAATTGCCCGGTAATAATCTGTTTAGAAAACACGATACTACATTATATCAGAAGGCAAAAAAGTAGGAACAGCACCTAGAAATTGTGTCATTAGTTTACAACAGGCTATCGACGGGCGTTACTTTCTTGCGTGGCATAAAGTGAAATGCTTCCGATCAAGGTATAGGTATGGTTCCTATTGGACGCCAACGATCTGGTTCAACATTCAACGTCATTACGCGTATCACTAGAATTAACCTCAGTAAAAGAGGCTTGGCGCGGGAGCGGTCCCTTGCAACACTCACGCAGACTAAACGTGCAAGTGTGATTACGCGTTCACAAAGCACCAAAATAACAAAAAACCGCACTAAATTTCGGAAGATATCAACAAGGGAAACCCGATGACGTAAGATGTAAATTTGTGACTAGTCGCAAATAAAAGGACCAGAGTGTCCCATGAAATGGTACACAATAGGGTTCACCTTAAACAAACAATCATTTACGCGTTTGTGTAAGTGCGCTTCGGTGACTACGCGCCGAATCGACATCAAGCACTTGTGCCTACATTAGCAACGAAATTGCTCAAGAGAGCCCACTCAAACAGCAGATCGCGGTGGTTCAATTTAAACAGCAGCATGCAACATACTTCAACCAGCTCAACCAAGTCTATTGTGAGATATCACATGGGCTCAACTTACACCACATATGCGGGATAGCTACTTGGGATTTTTGTTTAGTTTTGTGACAACTAGAACCGCCAGATCCCATTTACAAACTAGAATACAATGCCGGCATTATCGGTCGAATAAAGTAGCCAAACTAGTACCGGTTGTTCCTTGGCGTCGTAGAGAGCAGCCGGCACACAGCGCTCGACGTCACCCACTCCTGACGAGTTCTTCTGATTCTTCGTCCGTTGACTAGTTTCTTCTGAGTAGATGGAAAGGAGAGCCCTCCCACCACTTGGGTCCTTTATGATGTCATCTGGATAATCTAAACACACATTACTAATTACGGTTTTGAAAAGTTCCGCGAAAACGTGAACAAGGCCCTTTTGTCAAGCAATAACACGGGAACGAATCGCCAGATTTGCCTTGGTAGATGCATTAGAGGAATCTAGACCGATAATTAAGCACAGTTAAATGTTAGGCGACACGTAATGAAGCCTAAGTAAGCAGCCAAACATTGTCTGTAGCTGGGCTACTCCCGTGCCATGTCCAGTGCAAACCCTACAAATCAGACTTAAAGCGATTTTTGAATCGTGTTCGTTGATTTTGATACACCAGACGGCTCCCCAATGGTTGGACTTTTACGGGTAACCCGTATAAGGGCAGACAAAGTAGTAGTAACTAGCAGTAAAGGCATTTAAGCCTAGCTCTTGTCCTTGACTCGAGATTCTCGCGCTCGACAAGACCGACAGGGTAAGTCCTTTACCAGACAACACGACACCAGAAGCTTTGGCTCCGTCAAAGGGCATTTGGCTGGCGAATTGGTTTAACGGCGTGAGGGAGATGTTCATCACGAGGAGGCAGACCACAGCGAAGAGACTCGTGGTCACTTTCTTCCGCACCCCGCGGGGCAGCGTGGTCGACGTGGAAAAACGAAGGCGGCTGCCAGTCTTTTGGAGGATGATCTGTTCGGCTGCCTGCTTTCGCAGGAGAGGTGCCCTGTTGTTCAGCGACTTAACTGAAATAGAAAGGCAACGTAAGTAGCACAAACGCCTAGTATCATCATAGGAAGCGTGTGACCGGCGATACGGCTACATACGGTAAAAAACTGCCGAAATATCATGCGTGAATTGACCCACAGGACTCCAAAAAGACACTCGGGAGTCTTCATGACTAAAAAGTGGGAAGATTCCGCATAGATGGTGGAATTGCTTAAAGCGACTCCATCAAATAACGATTCAGTTGGCTTTACTCGGCAAACATTCAACGTGGCATATTCAAAGTGGTGAAAACGAGCGGATAGAGGGGTGCAGGGGGAAACAGTCGACAACACACCGCTGATTTTGGTAGGGGTAGGAAACAGCACAGACTGCTGAGACGCTGGCGATTGTTGGTTGGAAGAGGAGGAAGAGACGAGATTGGCTTGTGAAGCAGAGGAGGAGCCCAAAGGAGGTGAGGAGGAAGAGGGAGAAGCAGTTGTTGATTGTGCTATTGCTCCAGAGACCTCCGTAGAACGATTCAAACTCGATACTTCGACCTGAAAAAAAGCTGCCTTTAATACAATTCTACATGTAGACGGGTGGACTTCGATGACATGTTGACTTGAATTTGGGGGTGGGAACCAACGTGTAACAATTCCATGGAACTTTACAACAACGGATCAAATTGTTAGCATGTTATAGGTACCAGATAGGAATCCACAAAATCGCGGTTTGTGGTGCTATAGTATGCAAAACACGCCAGCGTTATTGTACACTTCGAAGCATATTTCAATTGACATGAATTGTGAAATACTGCCAATTGATCGAGGACATTTTGGTTGTGAATTACTGTGAAAAAGAATACCCCCGCCTAATTAATACTACGTAACTTTCTGATTTTAAAGTGGACGAATCAGCAAGCGATTATTGGTTGAAAACCAGCGGCTTTGCCTTACCTGTAAGTCGCCAAGGCACCTTTCGAGGTGGTCATAGCGATGCCGCCACTCGTTATTCTCCTGGCGCAAGTAGGCGTTCTCCTGCCTCAACTGGTCAAGCTTGTGCTCCAGGCGCTCCAAGTACTGCAAATGAAGGGCGAGATTATGCACTGCGAATGCTGGCACGCAAGGCCTCGAACTGCGCTTCCGACCCGCTAACCCCCAGGCATTGGAGGGCGTGTGCCGCCCGCTCCACATAAATCAACCAAATTACAGGAACACATCTGGTGAGTCATCAGAAGGGTCGTAGAAACCGTTTATTTTACCACAGCACAGAACTCATAACGAGAGTGCACAGAAAATCTGCATTGTTTAAACCTTCCGTTTCTTCGATGCCGATTAGAATTTCATTTACTGAAGGTACCTGAACAGCGGGACTATTTGATGACGAAACAAGGGGTCACAGCAGACCTCATCCCCAAAATAACAAACGGCCACGCGTTATCTCCTTACCAGGACCAATTGGCACTTCTCTCGGGGGCCAAACAACACCTAGGTACACTCGTGACTCTAAGCTAGACAACAGTAATTGCTGTGTACTCTTTGACGGCAAAAATGAACTTTATGAATGCAGGCTTACCTCCTTTTTCCTTAAACGACTGAGACAAGCAGCCTGTCGATTTTTAATCATTCTCTCCTGCCTTTTGACAAGCTTCTCAAGACTCTCCGCCTCGGCGGTGGGTTGCAGAGCCTGGAAGGAGTTGGAGAAGGTGTACTCGTCGATTGCAGGGAGGTTGATGATGGCGGGAACCAGGGTGCCGTGGCTCTGTGCCCTCGTAGACGTTTGATAGCTGGGTTGGACACCACAACCAACTAATGACGGCTGTATGTGTACATTGCTAACCTGCAAAAAAGAGGTTGGAACTTTCAAACTGCGTGCTTGCTGGCCGACGGTGGGTAGCTCGCCAGATCCCCACTTCAAGAGAATACTACAGTTCGATTTGAACTACACGAAGTTAACCAGAGACAACTTGATGGACATACTGTGGTGAATGGCTGTTGAATAAAACAGGCCTTGGATAATAACAGGAAACTCACGTGATGGGTGCGAGAAAGAATGCGGGGGATTTTTGTTGGGGTGTGATTGGAAGATGACACAGGCCGAACAGTGGCTGATAAGCAGAAAACAGAAGACCATGAAAAGAGGTAAAATGCAGGATACCAAACTATTCTGATTCACGATTTTTATATTCTAATTTCTGCTCTACAATTGGAGGAACGCAGCATACATGAAAATCCCAATTAGAGACAACCTTTTGTCGACCCATTGGGGATGCAAGGTTCAAAGTTCAGAACTTAACAGCTTTCCTTGTACCTTAAGGAATGCCTTGTTTGAATCCTTGGATACACGAGATAAAACACATTGCCGGATTTTTATGAGAAATTTACAAGTTAATCAAAGTAAAACGGACAGATTAACGTTGAGTGAGTTCCATTAGGCATTCTATTTTTAGGAACTTCCTAGTAAGAGTTGATACCACCAGTTTCATTTTGGATAAGCAAAAATTCTTAACATACAGAAGTATCCAGGGGGCTCAGGCTTAACCGGAGTGGTGTCGAAGGGAAACGCTCGGCTCAATGAAGGGGACGATGAAAGAAGACTTGGCCTCTGAAAGACCTGAGGCTCTTGAGATCCAGTAATTAGAAGCTCTGGAGGCCTCGGACGTTTAATTTGATAAGTTGGAGCCTCCCGTGAAGTTGAATTGGTTTTAACCAGTATAGGAACTGATTGAGTCGCTGAGCTAGCGTCACAACTCGGCAAAGAACTCGGCTTGAAGAAATCTGTATTGCCCTGGTCAACAGAACCCAAGGAGTGTTTGTCACCGTAATCTGAAAAAAAAGTAATAATACATTTCACAGAAGCACAAGCATGGATATAATTACACACGACGTACTGCTAATGCCGCTATCGCTATCCGAAGTGTCGGCAATAGGTTCAGTTGGAATATCATCAAGTACGTTGAAAGCGTTCAGATCCAGGTTCGGGTCATTAAAAATACTTTGCAAGTTCAGATCCAAACCTGATGTAAGAGGTCAGGTTAACAGCTAATTAACTTACTAAAGTCGATGTCATCAATCGGGTCCACCACAAAATCTTCAAATGGAAAAGAAAGGGTATCGTCTTGTAGGTCCATAACGTAACCTAGTCCCGAAAACACCTATAAAAGGAAATAAATTTAGGTAAGGCAGCAGTCAAAACAAAGACACGAGGAACCTGAGTAAATACCTAAGAAATAAGTTTTATCAAATTTCAAGAATTAGTTATAAAAAAATCAATGAGCCTCTTAGAAATAGAATTTGAATAGAGCTGTAAATAAACGACAAATATAGCCCATATCCTCAAAACGAAACTACTGGCTTGGTTTACAAGTAATTTACCATTTAAGCCACACCAGACCACGAACTGATGTGGCTTTCAATGACGAAATCGAAACGTACAAATCCGATTCTACTGATGATCAGTCTCGAATACATCACAAATAACTAAATATCCTACTATGAACTGATACGCAGATCTATACTTCAAAGCTAACGAATCCTACAAAATGCTGGTAAGTTTATTGACTTCGATAATGAATGTACGTTAGATACACATCGCTTTAATTATTAAAAAGAAAAACCACAATGATTGCGGCCAACAACCAGCGCTTACTAAAAACAACGAATTGACTTCTAAAAAGTTGCAATCTACATTAATTACGAAAGCTAATAATAATAATAGAGATGACCATATTTAGCCACATAGGTAAGTTCATCTGTGTTAATTTTGGATATAAAAAAGACTACTATTAGCAACCTCAATGTAGGCAGGATTGTCGCTAGAAAGTCATGGAAAAACAAGTACGTAAGGAGAAATGAATTAAATTTAAAGTTCTCCTGATTTGGCAAATGAAGTGTAGCATAACGAAATTTTAAGTGATACACTATTGCCGGTTCCTTCAAATTAAGCCAAAATTACTGTGGCCGGCTAACCAATAAAGCTAGCGATGCTAATAATTCGTCACCTTTTGTTTCAATCTAAAGCATTTTGAAAACCAGGCGTATGACATATGTTTAACTCGGAAAGACAAATTAAGGCAACCGAAAGCACATAAATGCTTGAACAGGCAGCAAATAAAATAAATGCAAGCCTACTTTAGTGCATAGGATAAATCTGCATGAATACAAACATTAGAAACAGAAAAACCAGCAGTAACTAGCCTGTCAGAAGACTGTTTAGATGACGCCCTGCCAAACGTGAACCTACCGCAAAAATTTGCCCCACGCGCTTTCAAAAGAGCCTCAAACAGGATTGAATCATTAAACAAACCGTTGAGAGTTTTCTTTAACTAGTTTTGCAATCACACTAAAAAATACCTTATGAAATATAATGGCTTTTGGCATCTGAATCCTCGATCAATTCAATACAACCAATGATTTTAATGGCCTATACTAATGCAGGAAAATTAATTAAATATATTATACGCCTCTTGTCTGTTTTTACTTTGTCCTCCAAGCCTACGGAAAAAAAATTAGCTTACAATTACAGGAAAATGATCAAAAGTGTCATAATTTGGTCATTTTGCTTTGTTTTGTCAGTTTAACAGCGGCCCATAACGAAAGAATTTCAGTACTACGAAATATCGTCCGTTAAACTTCACGTCTTTTCTTGGCGTCCCAAGTCAAATGGATGTTGTTGTGGTTGCCTCAACTGAACATCATTAAATCATCCATTTTTATTCCTGGGCATAAATATCAAACCATATACCTCTATATTTCATGCGGGTGTAAACTGCAAAAAAAAACATGGAGAAATATCTGGCTATCCCTAGACATTACTGACTGCTTTCGATGTACACTCTACAAATAATACTTCTCATATTAGCGAAAATCTGGATGTCTTATTTCACCTGGACAAATCAATATGGCAGTTCATTTGACAATCAGAAGCATCGGTTCCATTTTTCCAAAACATTTTTTGCCACAGAAATTCCAGCCCAAATTCTCGACGTTTTGTGCTACCACTGTAAGAGTTTTTAGCTGTTGCGTGAGATTTATTGGTGGGTTTTTCCCTCTGCGTCGAGTGTCCAGGTGAGGCTTTCACTTCCATTTATTGACAACAAAAATATAATCCTAGATCCTTCCGATCAGGTCATTATTATCCATAGAGGTAGGTGTATCCGATTCTCAGTTCTACTTTACTTAGCAGGTGATCATGCATTAGTTTTTAATCACGTGAAAGTTACAAGTTTCAGAAATGAAATGAAACAAAGTACCAACCTGCCATGACGGACGGACCTAGGCAACTGATCTTTTACTTCCGCTTGTTGGTGGCGCATATTTCCTATTTTCATGCTCGGACAACATTGCTTGGAAAGAATTTAAACAAGAGTCTAGGGTCCATTTCTCAAGGTTAATTGTGGCGACAAGATAAACTTTGCTTTCGTTGGTTTTAACTCGACCTTACGGCCTTATCATGGCCATTTATTCGAACGTTTCTATGGATGTAATGCAATATCTGAAAGACTGGAAACCTTTGGAAATGTTTCTTGTCTTATATAAAAGGGGTAAATTCCCTTTCCTTATAGAAGTGCAGGTGACAGATTCAGTCGATTATCTGCTTGGGTTTCCCAAATACCTCTGGTCGTTGCTTTCTCTGTGTCTTGTCTCATGTTTATCCGCCGTGATATGCACACCGTAAGTTGCCTTACAGAATGCACATCTCTTTAGATTTGCTACGCAATCGGGATGCTTATAAATGAACTAATATGTCGAAACATCAAGGACTTCATCCAAGGGTCACGTCCACCAACTCACCGTACGTTACGTACGCGTTCCTTACATTACCTTTAGCAAAATCACTTGTTGAATCCCACGGGATGCCATCAAATCACGCGCAGTTTATGTTCTTCATGCTGACATATTTTACCCTATTTGTCTATTTTCGTCTTTCTCCGCGTCACTACCCCTCGTACATTCGTTATTTCTTTGTGATATTTTTGGCGTCCGTGTCGATAGTTACGTGTTTCACAAGGTAATCCGCATATTTATTGTATTTATGTTTTAAGGATACATCTCGAGTATCATTACTTCGGCCAAATATCTGTGGGTGCCCTTCTGGGCGCGATTTTGGGTTCTACATGGTTTTACATAGTCCATGTCTTATTGACTCCACACTTCCCTTGGATTGTCGAAAGGTGATTTCCTTTTTTGCGTGTTCCATGTGTTTGTTCTTGTAAGGACCTATGACATTAGTTTTTCGCTTTGGACTCCGACGCTAATATTTGTCTTCTTTCTGTCAAATTGAATATTTGAAATTCTCTCCTTCTTAGTAAAATTGGAAGAGCCCTTATGCTTCAAGACTTCACTCATATCCCAAACGTGTTTACATTCGAATACAATGCCGCGAGGTCACATAGAACGAGGTAAGTTGCCAGGGTTTTGTTTGCACTTCTCTTTGTACCACACTGAGAATCGAATTTGAGGAAAATCGTTAGGTAATGATGCATTCTTTTGACCTGTTCATAGTACTTTACAACTTCGATTATGTGGTAGCCGAGGGTATATCTGCCGTTGAAATTTTGTGTGCGGTTACTCAAACCTCCTGGTTCTCTAAAGTTTAGACAAAGGCATACCAACGTCCGCAGGCTCCCGCCGCAATGCACTTCACATTTTTCAAGCATTTTTGCTAGTAATTCACGATGCAAATTGGTCCAAAAGTAATAATTCGTGTAAATTCCTATGCATTTCGAAAACTTGTTAAAATTCACCAGTCTCGAGAGCAGGTTGAAAGTCAGTTTTATCATGAACGCAAAATTTCTCGTTAAAGATAGTCGAAAGCATTTATTTTTTGGTTTTGTAAATTGCACCTTTGGTTGGTAAGTAAAGGTCAAGGTAGCAAAACCGGCAAAAAAATCCTGAAAATGTGTATTTTTGTAACCAGGTCGATCCGAATTTGACGGATGTCGGTTCTATTAAATAGCCAAATTGCCCTTCTTAATCTGCAAATGATTTCTTGAATACTTGTTGGGGATCTGCAGAACGCATCCCGTTATGAATGCGATTTCGAGGTCGTCGTGATCTTGAATTTTCCTGAGTTGAAATCCAAGCAAAAAATAGTGCTTTTCCAATACTTTCCATAATTAGTACCCTTTCATTCGGCTCATACCTGTTACCAAATATGGAAAACGTAGGCGACAACTGCAGCAGTTCTCGCGTGACGGGAATTTCACTGTAAAAGTCGGTTTCTTGGTTTTATCCAACCCAGGCATTTTGTTCTACCTTCTTCTTTATTGTAGATCGCGCCGCAAAGCAGGCTGTTCAGATTGAACCAAAATTGATCATTTTCACTCTTATTCTGTGTTATCAAATTACATTTGCCCAGAAAGCTTGTGCTTGACAGGCGTATTCGTCAGGAGACTCCTGGTAGATCCAATTTACATTCACACATGTTCATGTTTTTTTTGTATTTTTCAAGTAAATGCTTAAGAATACGAGTTCTACGGTTCTGTATTTTTGGGATGTTCAATGAACCGTGGACGTTATTTACTGTTGCAAAGCGTGTATACCTATATAGTGGGCTCTTTTTTAAAAAAAAATTTGAAGTAATCTGGGTAGGCTGTGCAATTGTGGGCAAGGTCATATTATTCACTCGACTTTTTACAATTTCGAGCTTGCTTTTAAATGTCCTGCATATCCTGGCATTCAGGAGTTGCAAAACTTTTTCTAAAAATGTCTATTTTGATCTTTACTACGCCTCAAAATTTAAGATATTTTCTGTATTTACTTAGGCTAAGATTGCAACTGATTCCATACAGGCCACTTAGGAATTTGGTACAAAGTAAATATGTCAAGGTGAATGGGTTAACTGGGTTTTAAAAGCAATGGAGTATGATGCAGAATGGACAAATGCATGTCCCCCATTGGAATTTGTTTAGTGTAGGAAGTTTGGGCAACGGGCTGCAGTGTACCTTCTTTTCGGTTGGCTGAGACGTCCAGTTCTCTAACAGATTGTGTCATAGGTAGGATGTGGATTTCATTCAACTGTCTACACATAAAAAGCCTTAAATAATTCTAGGATCGCTATTAAAAACAAGTTTTCACCATAAAAACCGTGTTTCGATGAAGCGAACTTTCAGTGAAGGTACCCATTATATGGGTATGGAATCACGATGAGTCCAATTGATGTGCATTATTGCACCAAATCTGATAGACTGAACGTCGGTTTGGTTCACAAATGACCAAGGCTAATTGTTCAAAATTGTGTTATGCTAAAAAACGTCACGAAATCGATATCACTTCTGAAAAACATCAAGGAATTCGGCCTCCGAGTCCTGCCTCTCTCCATGCTTCACTTCTCCGGATTATCACCTTAAATCGATGGAACACTTTTTTCCTTGGAAGAACTGCCGCGTCAACTATTTAAGCCGGACCCAAGCGCTCCCATTTTTCATGAAGTGGATTAGAAGTCCGCCAGAGAGGTTTGTGAGGGTGGTCAATATAGATGTGTGGATTATTTGGCAGGGAAACTGTACTCGAGATAGGGCAAGGTTGCTTGTTGTATTAGCGTCAAGGAGCCGTCAGTCATCAGCATCCGCAGATTAGGTTTGTTTACTAGCAGTCACCTCTCTGGATATCATTTCCGACGAACAAGACGCATAATGTTGCTTTACATGCAATTCTTATCCCTTTTAAAATGGCCCCAGAACTTATTTCCGCCCTGACGTAGCTCCCGAGCTGGATTATCGGAGGATTTGCCTGAACTTGACGTGTTTTTTAACACGGTATCTAGGTTAGCTGTCTTTAGGCACTCATATTACCGCCTTGATGACACCCCTAAATTCATGAACTAACGTTAGAATCAGATTTTGAGGGAAGATTTCTGGTTCGCATAATTATCTTTTAATTACAGACCCCTGATGTAGGCTTCGCAGTCATCACCCCTACTCATGAGACTTATTAATTGGGTAGCAAAACTGTTCATTTAAACAATGAAGACCTCCTTTCTAGGCTGACTGAACATCGGTTTTTCGGTTTATAATGTTGTGAGTTCGATAAACAATCTTGAAAGCCTTAAGAATTGTTCCGCTACACTTTGAAGTTCATTATTAAGGTCAGTTGCATTAAAGTTCAATTATTAGAATATTAGATCACATGTGAAAGGACCGGCTCCACGAATACGAGGTCATCGTTTGGATTGCCATTAGCACACATAGGTATTCGACGGCATTCAAGGGTGAAAAATGTTGATCAAAATTTGGCGGTGACCACATTACTCAACTAAAAAAGGGACAGCTATTTATTATTATAGATCAGTGGACATAGTGGGACACCTAACGCTTCAGGTGGTCTTTGGGCTTTGCTTTTCCCGGTGTTCTCATACCTTTTTTCATTTACACAAAAGTAAAATTGCGTGCTCCCTCTGGTTTGTGTTTTGTAGAATCCAAGGTGGACCAGCGAATAATTTAGCACCTGTTTCTCAGATGGTCTCCTCAAAATCCAGTCAAATCACCATTGTAGAAATGCCTTATTTGTCGTTTAATAACCATCTAAATGGGGCAGACGCATAGCTAATCGAAATTTCCCTTAACCAATGATGTAGCATCCACACCGAAGGAGGTTTTCTGTGACAAGCGTCGTGTGATGACTCCGTAGAGCACATGTGGCGCAGCTCACGCGTGGCCGACTCTCTGCCTCATTCGATTGGGCAAAGTGGCTCTGAGTGGCCATTTCATTGGGGCATGGGACTGGCCAAGCCAGTGCCTAGTCAAGTTCGAATCGGGTTGAGTCGAAACCACTGGTTGTTTGTCATCAATTCGTGTGCAGCTGCAGGTCGAATGAGCGACTGACTGAATGAATTGACAGATGATGGTGTCAGTCAGGTGTTTGGCCTTCCGTGTGCGCGTTCGTGTGGAGGTGGTGGATGCTGCATCGTTACTTCCTTCGTTGTTATGGCAATGACTCTTCAATGGTAATGTTTGAAAGTGTACAGGAGTGTGAGTCTTGCAGCGAGATTCCGTAAAGAACTCGAGTAATTGGTGGGGTGTGTTTTCTGTGCAGATTTGGCCTTCACAAATGCCCACTACTTTCAATGTGAATGAAATTGCTGATAAGAAGAAGAATCGGCAGTAGCCACCACGTGCGCGAGCATCTTAGACCGTTTGTGGTTCTCTGGTGCTTATTGAGACTTCTTAAAGGCCGCACACGGTCACGTCGATGGAATGATTGGTCTTATCAAGTAACATGATGACATCTTACCACAACAAAATCGCCTATCAGGGAAATTGGTTTGGTTGACTTGGCTCTTTGATGGTAACCTTATTGGGGCCATCATTGTGTCGTGATGTATTGGCCGGTGAAACCGCGTCAACATTGTGGCGATTTAAATGTACTGACGCCGCTCTTTATAGTCATTTGGTTCAGTACTTTCTAACACGTGACTGTTACGGCAACATGCTGATCCCCTCCCGGATGAAAGGGCTTGTCTAATGACCCGTATCTATGTTTTGACTTATCGCGCTGCTCCGAAACCATTTGCACTATTAGGCACATCAGTGTCAACCAATTGTACATAAGTGTCTTGACCCACGTGCAAAAGAAGACAACACATTTGAGCATTGACGCCGGGGAGGGTTTCTTAGGTTTCTCAATCTAACCACCTGCCAAGAGGAATAAAGCGCACTCATGCTATTAGACCGTAACTTCATTTCTAGACTCTGTGTTAAGCGCAAACGGCGGTGCCTTTTTCTGGGATACAAGGCTGTGACATGACCCGAAGGGTGTGGACCGCTTTCTCCTAAAAGTCATAAAACAACTGCATTATAATAACCATCCCAATCACTTGGATATTCGTTAAAGGCCAATAAGCGTGCTTATCGTGTCGTAGCTTGCAACCTCCCCACTTGTGATTCCCTATGCATTTCGCTGACTTGTAAAATTTACCCGGTTTATGCTGTAAAAGCCCCAGTAGTCTCTTGGTGTTCCAAGTGCGTAAGTTGAGTGGTACGAAAACGCCTAGGTATGAGTGGACAGTCAGTTCAAAAATACTTATGCAGATTTGAGCAGAAGGAAGGAGAATTGTCGAATTGGTTGAACTAATTTCAGCACTTTCCAACTAAAGCAGCCTGGCTATTAGTGATCCAAGCGCTTCATGGAAGAATGAAACCAAAAAACTGGTGGTGTGGGAGCGTGCTGGCAGGCTAGGGTAGCTGATACAAGTTCCGTCGCTATTGTGGCTAGAGCTGAAGAAGTCGATGAGATTTGCGAGAAATTTTGACATCACACTTTAAGCAAGATGTCCCCAAGCCAAAGTACGAAAATCCGGTACTTCTGCAGTTTCATTTCTACAATCACCGGGAAATTGTCGCTTCAAGAACCTTAACGACGTAGTTCAACTTTGTACGCGGTTGGTTGCTTGACTATAATTATGA